TATACATACATACATACATACATACATACATACATACATACATACATACATACATACATACATACATACATACATATGTTAATTGACCACTCCCCATGGGGGCTTTTCAGGGCCAATTCCCACCCAGCAACCACCCCAGGGGAGGACATCCATCACACAGTAATCTCGTGCGTGGGAAATTAACGTCTCCTACCCCTAACCCTGCAGGAGACGGGACCTCCATTTATTCGTCCCTATCCGAGAAGACTAGAGTATCTAACCATTTCTTGATGTTATAGAAAGGTAGCATATTCTTCTCACTTGTTTTAAGACCTTGAGTGTTGGTCCGGCCGGGACTCGAACCCTCGACCTCCCGCACAACAGTCCAGAGCTCTATCCATTGAGCTAACTGGGTGGGATTCATAAACACAAAAACAATAAAACAATAAAAGAATGAGAATGGGATTTATATTTGAGAAAAATAGGCTGGGATTGTGAATTTGAACTGGTATTTCAATAACATTTTGGCTGGGAAAATGGGATTAGGACCCCCCCCTTCAGGACACTCCTTCCAAGAATGTCAAAAATAATATTTTCTTCTACTCTTGTATTAATTTGTATTCTGTTGTTAATTCCCGAATAGAGATGTAACTCAGAACTAGTAATTCTACAGCAAAAACAAGGGTTTTCATTTAAGAATTAGAGTAGCAGGAGAATGGGAAGAAGTAGCAGGAGAGGCAGTCTGAATGAGCAAAGCTCTTTCATGGTGCAAGCTTTGCTTGTTCCCTCTAGGGGGATCTGGGGCCTGCCCCCACCCCCCAAGGAAAAATGTGGATTTTTAAAACCTCTGAGATGCTCTTTCCTGTTGTCTAAGGTACAATTTTGTTCCCAGTTGCTGATTTTAAAACAATGTATTACCTAACGATATTTTATTCTTTGAATTTGGTTAGCAAGCAAGTAAGTAAGGTTCAATCAAGACCTCTAACCTTTTTACTCCTCAAGTCATATCAAATAGGTCACAATCTACCTCCCCAAATAATATACACTGCACCATTAAATGATGGCTTGGGAGGGCTAGTGATGGTAAAAGACGGCTAAGGATGGCTATAAATGGCTGGGGAGGGCTAGGGATGGTACATGATGGCTGGGTATGGCTATGGATGGTAAAGGATGGCTGGGATGGATAGAGATGGTAAAAGATGGATAGGGATGGTAAAGGATGGATAGGGATGGTAAATGATGGCTAGGGATGGTAAAGGATGGCTAGGGATGGTAAAGAATGGCTAGGGATGGATAGAGATGGTAAGGACAGCTGGGTATGGCAAGGGATGGTAAAGGATGGCTAGGGATGGTAAATGATGGATAGGGAAAGTAAAGGATGGATAGGGATGGTAAAGAATGGCTAGGGATGGATAGAGATGGTGAAGGACGGCTAGGTATGGCAAGGGATGGTAAAGGATGGCTAGGGATGGTAAATGATGGATAGGGATGGTAAAGGATGGATAGGGATGGTAAAGGATGGAGAGGGATGGTAAATGATGGATAGGGATGGCAAACGATGGATATGTCTTCTATATGGCATTCAGCCTTGAAGTACATACCCTGAGTCAGGCCGAGTAAAATTAAGGATTAATATCACGCGTGTTTTCAGAGGTTGCTGAAGTTGCCTGAGTCGCGCAGCGACGAGGGCAATTTCTGCATATAATATAAGGGGCAGAATGTTTTCTTACTGATCTCGTGCTAAACGGGACGCCATTGTTACAAAACAAACAGAAATTTCTTTAC